AACTTTTTTTGTGTTTTTGTTGGCTGTGAGCAATGGGGGAGCAGTGGTCTGTGTCGGCCTGGCCGCACGAGCTCGATCAAGTGACCACCAGTGGAAGCCGAGGGGCTTCCTCGAAAATGGGAACTCGATTCACCAACTCAGGAATCCAATTCATCACTCGGGAAGCCAAAAATTCTTCCTCGAGTACGACAATCTGATTCACCACACGGGAAGTCGAGAGTCTTCCTCGGGTACGAAACTCGATACTTTCGAGTATTCTCTCGGGTTGTCATTGAAACTCGTAATTTTGATTAAATTAGTTTCTGCCTAGTATTTAAATTATATTAATTAACATGTGTCGTGTGTGTATAGTGAATTAGGACGTTCAGGCATATCCGAAAAGATTATTGCGTAAAGGAGTTGTAAGTATTTCTGATTCTGAACCTAGATTAGAATTTTAGAATTTTGCATGTATTTTATTAATTTTATGTGTATTTTTTTAAAATTGAACAGATATTGATCCAATTTTTGATGAGGAACAGAACCTGAACCTATGACAAGTGAACCTAAGCTATTAGAAATTATAAGGAGATGGAACCAGAAAACAAACCCAAAGACTGAGGAATACTTGAACTGTGATGAGAAATGAATTTAAACTTAAAAAGAAATTTCTAATTAAGTGGAAGGTTGAAAAAAATAATAATAAAAGAAAATAAAAATAAAAATAAAAAGTAATAATTATGGTTGTGAAACGATCAGTTAAATAACATTTAAGAGAAAATAGAATAAAAGAAAAGTAAATCAGAAATCAGAAATGAGAGGATGCGAGTGATTAGGGCATAGACCCTGAATGTCTTCTCATTTAGTATGAATCGAGGAGGGGAGTGTGTGTGTGTGGCTGAAGTTCAGCAGGCATGGTGAACCTGTGTAACATCCTAAACTCCAATATCAGTGAGTAAGGATGTTAGTACAACACTTCCAACTAGTGAAACATATAAATATTAAATATATAGCGGAACTACACTTATAAATAATTAAAGCATATAAATTAATTTATAAATCTAAAATATAAACTAACAAGGTTTTCTTCACCATCTTCTATTGACCTTGAACTTGTTTATCATCTCCTCTCACCTGAATGAGGGTAAACTGGGGTGAGCTTCACGAGCTCAGTAAAAAAAAAGATTCTATAACGAAGACGTACGTACATACATTCATGCAATATATAAATTATAATAATTTTTATCATCAAATAAAATGTCAAATAAGCATCACAATAAAAATACACAACAAAATAAATTGTCACACAAAACATATTCTAATCCTCACTCTTCTAATCTAATTCTTGTTCTCCTTTCAAATCACACTCATGGATCCACATATTCGTCAAACTAAAACAGATTTACTTACACACACATATCACTCGACTCATATGTATAATTTCACATTATTTAGTCTTTTAAAGCTTAATTAGGTTACCATTGCGTGATGTCGTTTATATCGTCATAGAAGAAATGCGAAATTGATCCCCTCATCACATGGATAGCACACACACAAAATATCACATTGGCTACAGTAATTATGTTTGCTAGGTGACCCACTCATAAACACTTATCCACGTCTGGACTAGGTTTCAAACTCTATCTATGTACAAGTTGACTATACCTACTG